CAACTCGTAACATTTTGTCCTGTTCCTTTCTTCATCATAACCTCTTCTTCAAATAAATAATACTTTAAAAAGAGTACAATCACAATGTCTAATGGTGTTTCTTGACAAGATATACATCATGTGCATGATTGTACAGTACACTGTAAATGTTGTGCCGCCGGGTATCTGCATAATATTAATACCCAGCCGAGTGCCAATGGCGAGCTAACTTACTTCATGCTGTATCCTTCCAGTTCCTGTTTCCTGTCGGTAATCGACCGAGGATGCACTCGTACATGCACTGTTACACGTACATTGTACAACAAAGTTTTTTCCCGGCTATTTTAATGGTCCGTGGATGCGTGAGCAGCATGCAGAGAGACTCTGCTCTGGCTATACTAGGGATCGGAAGAGTGTCACATCCCGACATTTGATTTTGCGCATAGTCATCATATATGGTGGTAAAATATTATTATACATGGTGCCAGCGGCTCCCAGCCGGCAAATATTCGGTGTCATGACACGCCCTTGCTGACTAGGCCTATGCGCGGTGTGCGCACTCTCCCTCCCTAACTCTACCATCACCAGCAATGATTATGTGTAGCGCGTGTGCTGAGAGAGCTAGATTAGAGCCGTAGCGGGAAAGTTTAGTGCTGGTCACCATGGTCACTGTGCTGCAGATCATACCATAGCAGCCACTGAGAGTGAAATCTACACTTCACTACGTATCAGTAGTACAGTGCAGTACGTTCAAGTTAGTTAGTTGGTAGAGACACGTGACCATCTGTGGGTGAAAGAAACCATGAAACTCTGAGTCACACCAAAAAAAAAGCTCTAGTTTTCCGTTGTGATGAAGAAGGAGGGAGGGAGAGAGAGAGAGAGGGGGGGGGGGTGAATCGCTACTGAGGCACAGCTGAACTGGTCACATGGACTTGTAACTACTTGTTGTTGGTACATAATAATAATAATACCATTGTAAATACTTGTGACTGTTACTCACTCACTACACCTGTCACGTGACTGTAGTGGGCTTCTACTACACTCCACAGTCAGTAGTACACATGGTACAGGAGATCGAGAGGCCGTAAATCATGGTATGGTGGGTATCAGGGAGTCGTAACATACCGGTATTTTACGACTCCCTGGTGGGTATGGTTCGGGTGGGGTGGATATAACCAGGGTATTGTACTACTCCCTGGACATAACCGTTCTCAGTAGCAGGTCATGGTAGATGCTAGAGATAAACAGCGGGGACCGCGCTCTTCCCCCGGCATCATGGACACCAGGACAGACCCACGCACCTGCTCAGCGCAGTCAGTAGCATGCAGATCTATATCTACGACGTCTAAGATCTGCCTCCAACTGACTCCATATCCATGCATGCCATTGTGGAGTAGCAGCATGCAGTGAGGCTTTGTATCAAATTTTGTATTGTACATGTATTTATCTAATTAAGGATTCCCCAAGGGCTGTTCGCCTGTCGAGGGGTTTCCTATTTTCGCCTGAGTGATGAGATACGTGGGAAGGGAAAATTGGTAAGAGAGGCAGGAAGAAAAAGAAGAGAAAAGCAGAAGAAAAGTTGAGTTGTCTCGGATGGAGAGCCAAGGGTAAATTTATAGTAAAGAAAAAAAGGACCAAGAAACTACAAGTTACGCTATAATGTCCACTAACACCACCAGTTACTAAACAATCAGCTCATGCGATAACATTGCACGACACAAAAACTGAGTTATCTGCACCAGCCAAAACCCATGATAAACATACAATTGACTGTAAGAACAGTCAGTACTCAATAACGTTACATCCAAGCCTGATGCATCATACTATCAAGAGTACATAACCCGTACTCTTGATACTGTTCATAGGCGCGCGGCCGCGAAATGAAAACTGCCACTCAGTATGAGTATGAGTGCATGTCACGTGACATTACCCTGGTGTTCTACCCTTACCGTGCTTACGCGAGTTACGGGGTGTGTCATTGATTATACCAAGAGTAGATAAACAAGAGTGTGCAACTCCGGATCTCTCCTGCACAATCTGCAGATACCCCGCGCCCACGGCGGAATTTTTTGTTTACGTCACCTTTTTTCAGAGAAACGCGGCTTTGCCGCAGAGCAGTGTGAGAGCACGTGCTGGGCACCGACCTTGTAGTGTAAAGCCAAGCCAAGTGCACGAGGGAAAACTCTCCAAAAGGCTCGCAGCGCGTGCGTCGTCGAAAAGATTACGTCAACAAAAAATTCCGCCGTGGGCCAATCCATCCGGAGTTGCACACTCTTGTTTATCTACTCTTGATTATACTTTATAGGGTAATAGGCCGATTAGCCCCCTCCCCTGTATGTTACTTTTGCCTATATCATAGTGGACTGTACTCGTACTCCTGCCGTCCTGGTCACGCCGAGTCGTATACTGAATTTAAGGCCGTGCTCACGTGTGTTCCTTCTCCTTTCTACATTTTGATATTGCCTTTGCTTTGGCTCTCAGCATCAGACTCAGAGTCTAACTCTAGTCGTAGGCCAGTTTGTGACAATCCTCGTCCTGTGCAGCACACTATGAGAGAGTTGTAACATTTCCAGACGCTTACTCAATCTGAGCAGCACCGTCCCATACTACTAGACTACTAGTGGATACAGAATGGAGGGCAGTGGGTAGTACAGTATTATGATTTGTATAGGTGATAAGGTATGGGTGGGAGCAGTGGCCAGGTGTCGCTCAATTTAAAAATAATAGTCTTATAGAAGTTATAGTAACAGACTCAGTGTGCATTGTATGGACAGGTACCTACACTCATCGTGATAAGTTATGGTGTTGGTGGATTGGTGGATTGGTGGCTAGGGAGGTGCTGCATGCGGGTCGATACAGGTCAGTGGGTCACTGACTTGACTGAGATACTACAATAGTAGGTAGACTAGAGCCAAGGTAGGAGTGTAGATTACTAGCAGCAGTGAGTGTGTTTTCCATTACGTTCATATCTGCAAGTGTGTAGCGTATATGTATGCTGGTATGTACCTACTGGGTCAGACTATAGTTATGTTTGGAGATTCTAGTTTAGATCATTTTATGTGCAGCCTGATTAGAATCGGTCATGTGAATTTCAGTACACTTGCAAACACTACATATATTGTTACTAGAAAACAGTGCTCTCTTTGTCATTTCCAACAACTGCTGCTATTATGCAGTGTATGGCATGTCAGTGACTCAGTTGTTTTTTATAGTTTTTCAGTGTCTGGTGTTTTATTTTTGTTGCTAAAGTAATGCAGGGTTTATACAAACACTGACTGTTGTGTCATGGCTACAAGTGAGAAGATCTTCAACCCTCCCGAGTGCTCTCTGAATTTGCTGTGTGTGTGTGTGTGTGTGTGGTCCACCACTCGCAGTGGAGTAGCTATCCCTCGAGTGCTGTGAAGAATCCAAGCTCGAAGAATGCAGTGGTGGGAATTGCGGATTGGCTGGTGGAGTGCTGGAACAAGTCGTTGTTTCAGTGGAGTGGACGAGCGAGTGCGGAGAGGAAGGTCGCAATGGCGGAATGGTGGGAATTGAAACTTCAATCTTTCGTCGTCATGAGTGCACTGGTCAAGCGTTGCGGAAGTCTGTCGGATTTGTGAGGCATTGCCCTGCCGCTTACATCGTCAACGTGGAAGAACTGCTAGTGGAGTCCTGGTGGGATTTCGGATGCCCACACTCCTTTTGCTTGGTGGATTCTTTCGTGGACAGTGTTTTTTCGTGGCGTGAAATTTTGAATTTTTTTTCTTTCCTGTTCATTTTCAGTTGTTGTCACTGTAGCTGTCAGGTTGTTGTTACAGTACTCGAACATGATTGTACAGCAGTCGTCCGTTCTGCTCCATTGTTTCATCTGTTTTGCCAGTTCTGCTAGCTGATTCTCTTTATTTGCCACTGCCCCTCATAGTGCTCATGCTTGGGTGGAGGGCGGCGTGACCCGTTTAGGGTAGCTGTATCATAGTAGTAGTAGTAGTGTGTGTGTGTGTGTGTGTGTGTGCGTGTGCGTGTGTGCGTGTGTATAATATATATGTGTGTCCATGAATGTGCGGAATGGTCGTAGTTCCTCGGTTATAAACCATTGTACCAGTCCGAGCTGCTATATTCATTTCTCATTTTCTGATCTCATTTTCCAACACACAGTGACTGTCCTGTGTTGTGCACCAGTAGGTGATCGCTCTCTCTCTCTCTCTCTCTCCCCCCTTTCTCTCTCTCTCCTCTCTCTCTCTCTCTCTCTCTCTCTCTCTCTCTCTCTCTCTCTCTCTCTCTCTCTCTCTCTCTCTCTCTCTCTCTCTCTCTCTCTCTCTCTCTCTCTCTCTCTCTCTCTCTCTCTCTCTCTCTCTCTCTCTCTCTCTCTCTCTCTCTCTCTCTCTCTCTCTGATACACATACACACACACACGCACACACATGCACCTCCCCCCCCCCACACACCCCCACGCACGCACGCCCCCCCCCCACACACAAGCATGCACCACCCCCACCCCCTGCATACACACCCACACGTACGTTCGTTGCTGCCCCCTAACTCTTGCCCCCCCCCCCCCCACACACACTCCCAATCTGTAAGACCACATCTGTGAAGTCGAACACAGTCATTAGCCAGTTCACTCGGAAACTCTCTCTCTCCCCCCCCCCCCCCCACACACACACACATGCATACATGTTTTCAGTGTCTCCTCGATCTACTGTACCTTGTCTCGTTCAAGGAGAGCACACACATACACACACACACACACACATGCGCACCCCTAACTCTTGCCCCCCCCCCTGCTCTCAATCTGTAAGACCACATCTGCGAAGTCGGACACAATCATTCAATGAGCCAGTTCACTCGGAAACTCCCCCCCCCCCCCCCAAACACACATGCATAATAATATGCACAAGAGTGTGTGCTGTGCCGGTATAAAAGGAGCCAGGTAAAAACCTTTCTCCGTCATACCACACACAATGTTAACCCATGCACAATGCCAGTGATTGACATTCATGTGAATCACTCCACGTGTTCTTCACAAACAAACATACAGTCTGCATACCGGTGCACTGCACACAGCCAACTGTCAGTGTAATTCAGGAAACACAGAAGAGACAAGGAAATGGAGTGAAAACATCGTGTCAGTACAAGACACTCAAAATAATATTTTTTTATTGCAGGCAGTGTTATCAGCATGGCAGCGCTCAAGAATTGAGAAAAGATTGAAAAGTTTTTGAAAATTATCTGCTATAGACAGGCACCACTGGCAAGGAAAGCGCATACGGTCAACTCAGTGTTTTGCCTGGGCAAGAGGAAAATGGGCTTTGCACTGCCCCGTTATAGGCAAGTAGTTAACTGTAGCGGCTGAAAAATCAAGTTTTGTACAAGAAAAGAACACAGACTCAGTGATCACCGCCAGAGAGAATATATGCAAGGGCTGGTGCTGGCTATAACCATGGCAACTGTACATTGTCATAGTAACAAATCAGATCTGTCCATGAGGCTCGAGAGCACATTCAGGATCATCTACCAGCGGCTGTAGCTCGGACACCAACCTGCTATTATCCCCATACTCTGGAGAAAAGTAGAGTATCCTAAGCTTGCTACACTGGCGAACAGCCTGTACGAACTGGGCTAGTACACGTCGTTCCTCCGATCTAGGACCATACGTGAAGGTATATCCTAGGACATCCAGTACTTCCAGGTTCCTGTTAGAATGGAGAATTTCCAGAATGGACGTGAGCGGCACATCAGCACCGTACTCACCAGTGCATAACCGGGAAAGTGAAACATTCCGCAACTTCCTACATGAACTCAGCGCTTGGCAGATCAATGCAAAGCCGTCAATGCCGACTTTATTCTCATCTAAATCCACATCCTCCAGGCTGGACGATGCGGACAAAATGGCTGATGAAAAGACATTACCATCGGTACAGTCATTCCGAATCAAATAGAGCACACGTACATGTGTGTAGCGTGCCAAGCCATTAAGAATGCAGCGCATAGCAGTGCTGGGTAAGCCACAACCATAAAGGCACACTTCCTGCACGTCCACACAAGAATGGGTTGTGAGGAAATGAGCAATGGCAGTGCAATCTAACAGGCTGAGTTGCACAAGACTATAATTCAGAGAAAAGACCTGAGAGAAGAATGAACAATGGCCATTACAAGATGACGGACCTTGATACTGGCAGTGCTCTAGATAAGCTACTAACAAATCAGCTAGGCAACGGCGTTCTCCCTCTACAAGCGCAGGAGGCCGTATAGAAGCAGTAGTAGGAGCCGGGGCAGCTCCAGGTGACGATGGTGTCGATATCTCCGATTTTGCGCTTGTCATCGCATGCTGCTCACAATGCGATGCGGTCGCGGGATCCACTTTACGTACAGCCGACAGGAACACCTCTGCACTCGCCTCCGCTGCCTCGTTCTTCCATACGCTTACAAGAGTATCCAGGTACAAGTCATCCGTCAACTCCCTGCCTCGTGGCAGAGCATTGTCGACACGCTGACGACCACGTCCTTGCCCGGCGGTGCCAACCAGCAGCTGATCGGCGAGATCTTTCATCTTTTCAACTGACAGCGCCGATTTCAGCACCGCATGGATACGGTCCACGTCGTTGCTTTGCTTGGTTGGCTGAGAACGGCTCACAATGTCGTCGAGCAGGCGTGTATCAGTCTGGCTGCATGCACGTTGTGTACGATCGTCGTCGCAGATTATCCGCCACAGATGCTCCATGATGGCGACTGCGGGATTTGGCGGTGTGAGCGCGATCAGGAAACGCCAGAACATGGTCATGTGACCGCTGTAATGGCCGACTCTCCTCACCAGCCATGCAGCGTCCTTCTCGTCGTTCAGCATCTCGCTAGACACGTACCAGGCCGCCAAGAACTCCTGAAAGGACAAGTGAGCAAATCGATATTGCCGGTCTTCTGTTGAGCTGGTGCTCTTGTAAGCCATCAGCAATCCTAATTCAATTGCAGGCGCGCTTAGTTGTGCAGAAATGACATCCTCCTCGTTGAACACCATCTTTTGCTGAGCTAGCATAGATAGTGCAAAACCAGATAGCTCCTTCAGCACTTCTACCTCGTCCGTCTTGATGGCGGAAAGCGTCTTGTAGCGTTTACCCGCATGTCGTTCCATGACACGGCGAACAAGCGACTCGTACAGTCCTGTACTGGATTCCGGCAATTTACTACCGTCTCTGTCGTCCATGAACAATTCACAAGCCAGCGCAGCAAACAGAGGTGTACACATTAGCGACATTGTGCCCTCTTGTGAGCGGAGCTGCTTCAGCATAGCCTCGCCTTTCACACCGCCCACCACTTTCTTCACGTACAATTCAACGTTGTCTGGTGAGAATCCAACCACCTCCACTTGCTGTTGATACTCTCCACATTGCGACAGGGTATGAGCATCAGTACATGGTCGAGACGTCACCACCACATGCATATCACCACTACGCCTTCTCAACAGTAGATCACGCATGTATTCACTGCAGTTGTCCAACTTGCACTCATCCAGCCCGTCTAGCACAATGCAAAGACGGGACTTGTTGCTGCGAAAGAACTCGGACATCTCCTCTACCTCTTCTGTCTTCACATCCAGACTGGAGAATCGACGTGCCAGCAAGTCGCACAAGTTCGTAGCAGCTTGCACCTCGGCAAGCCGTAATTCCACTGCCAGTACCAGATCAAACTTTCCACGCCACAGCTCACCTTTAGACCAGAGGTATTCCAGCATGATCAGAAAGATCGTGGATTTGCCACAGCCAGCGCTACCAAACGCTAGTACATTCTTCATGTTTTCTTCCACGGGTTTCTTGGCACGCGGCTCCAGTAAACCAGAATCAGCTACCTCATGGTCACAGCCCGGGCGTGGCGCGGCCCCCTGATTGCAAGACCGCTCGCTGGTAGCGGAGAAAATATCTTCCAGTTCAATGCCACGCTCGGCCGTAGCGACCCTTTGCGGCTGAGCCTCGGAGAACAATTTCAACTGGCGTGCTCGTTCAGAACCAGACGAAAAGGACGATGACTCGTTACTGAAAAGTTCGGAAAGTTCCTCCTTTGTCAGCAACGTCAAGTTGACAAAAATATCTTTCAATGGGATTTTGGCATCGCTGGCAAGTCCACCGCTAATCTGAATACCAGCCTTCTCAACTGCCTTAGCCAGCAAATCACGGGCAGTTCGGACAGAAGCTGGCAGCTTCTGCTCGTCGGACGCCATGGGTCGCGGGCAGGTTTGCGTCGAAGTAGCTGCAAGGAGCACCAGGCAACAACATCGTGCAAGGAGACGCTACAATTATTATTTAAAATATTTTTACTTTGCCTGCATGACAGATGATTGTACGAATTCTGGGTGCACCGGTGGTCGGTGTGCGAGGAGGTGACGGTACGTGTTTAGCTCAGAGCTATCCTCGGACTTTGTAGTTGTTGCGTTGTTTTTCCACCGCTACAAATCATGCATTTAGTGAAGTCCTGTGCAGACTGTGGTAATGTCAATGGTGTAAATGTACTGATGTACGTACATGTACATATACGTGGTGGTAATGTCAATGGTGTAAATGTACTGATGTACGTACATGTACATATACGTGGTGGTAATGGCAATGGTGTAAATGTACTGATGTACGTACATGTACATATACGTGGTGGTAATGTCAATGGTGTAAATGTACTGATGTACGTACATGTACATATACGTGGTGCTGATGCACAAGTAGAAACACTTTTTACACTGCACTGTCTGTAAAATGAGTGAAACAGATTATTGAAATATTTATTTCAGGACTGTCTGGTACATGGTGTGCACTGCACGCATGCACTGATCTAAGCATTACCTAGTAGTAGTAGTAGCAGCAGCAGCAGCAGCAGCAGCAGCAGCAGCAGCAGCAGCAGCAGCAGCAGCAGCAGCAGCAGCAGCAGCAGCAGCAGCAGCAGCAGCAGCAGCAGCAGCAGCAGCAGCAGCAGTAGTAGTAGTACCTACTAGGCCCCGTGTAATATGGCGGCATTTTTTTGAGCATTTTCGGAACAATCCGCGAACCCAGCACTTTTGGCTCGTGATGCAACATGTTTCCTGGATTGGGGCAAAGGGAAGGAGGGCATGTAGCCTGGATTGGGGTAAAGGGAAGGAGGGCATGTAGCCTGGATTGGGGTAAAGGGAAGGAGGGCATGTAGCCTGGATTGGGGCAAAGGGAAGGAGGACATGTAGCCTGGATTGGGGCAAAGGGAAGGAGGGCATGTAGCCTGGATTGGGGCAAAGGGAAGGAGGACATGTAGCCTGGATTGAAGCAAAGGGAAGGAGGGCATGTAGCCTGGATGGGGGCAAAGGGAAGGAGAACATGTAGCCTGAATTGGAGCAAAGGGAAGGAGGGCATGTAGCCTGGATTGGGGTAAAGGGAAGGAAGGCATGTAGCCTGGATTGGGGCAAAGGGAAGGAGGGCATGTAGCCTGGATTGGGGCAAAGGGAAGGAGGGCATGTAGCCTGGATTGGGGCAAAGGGAAAGAGGGCATGTAGCCTGGATTGGGGCAAATGGAAGGAGGGCATGTAGCCTGGATTGGGGTAAAGGGAAGGAGGGCATGTAGCCTGGATTGGGGCAAAGGGAAGGAGGGCATGTAGCCTGGATTGGGGTAAAGGGAAGGAGGGCATGTAGCCTGGATTGGGGCAAAGGGAAGGAGGGCATGTAGCCTGGATTGGGGTAAAGGGAAGGAGGACATGTAGCCTGGATTGGGGCAAAGGGAAAGAGGGCACGTAGCCTAGATTGGGGCAAAGGGAAGGAGGGTATGTAGGCTGGATTGGGTCAAAGGGAAGGAGGGCATGAAGCCTGGATCGGGGCGAAGGGAAGGAGGGCATTTAGCCTGGATTGGGGTAAAGGGATGGAGGGTATGTAGCCTGGATTGGGGCAAAGGGAAGGAGGGCATGTGGCCTGGATTGGGGCAAATGGAAGGAGGGCATGTAGGCTGGATTGGGGCAGAGGGAAGGAGGGCATATAGCCTGGATTGGGACAAAGGGAAGGAGGGCATGTAGCCTGGATTGGGGCAAAGGGAAGGAGGGCATGTAGCCTGGATTGGGGTAAAGGGAAGGAGGGCATGTAGCCTGGATTGGGGCAAAGGGAAGGAGGGCATGTAGCCTGGATTGGGGTAAAGGGAAGGAGGGCATGTAGCCTGGATTGGGGCAAAGGGAATGAGGGAATGTAGCCTGGATTGGGGTGAAGGGAAGGAGGGCATGTAGCCTGGATTGGGGCAAAGGAAAGGAGGGCATGTAGCCTGGATTGGGGTGAAGGGAAGGAGGGCATGTAGCCTGGATTGGGGCAAAGGGAATGAGGGCATGTAGCCTGGTTTGGGGTAAAGGGAAGGAGGGCATGTAGCCTGGATTGGGGTAAAGGGAAGGAGGGCATGTAGCCTGCCACCTTCGAGCTACTGTAAAACCGGACACTTTCGGTGGAGATCTATTTTCGGTTACTTCGGTAAAGGTAATTTTTACCTAAAAATAAAACGCGATCTAAAATTCCACACAGCCATGCCCCCCCCCCCCCATACCACACAGCCATGCCCCCCCCCCCCCATACCACACAGCCATGCCCCCCCCCCCCATACCACACAGCCATGCCCCCCCCCATACCACACAGCCATGCCCCCCCCCCCCCCCCATACCACACAGCCATGCCTCCCCCCCATACCACACAGCCATGCCCCCCCCCATACCACACAGCCATGCCCCCCCCCCCCATACCACACAGCCATGCCCCCCCCCCCCCCCCATACCACACAGCCATGCCCCCCCCCCATACCACACAGCCATGCCCCCCCCCCCCCATACCACACAGCCATGCCTCCCCCCCCCATACCACACAGCCATGCCCCCCCCCCCCCATACCACACAGCCATGCCCCCCCCCCCCCCATACCACACAGCCATGCCTCCCCCACCCATACCACACAGCCATGCCCCCCCCCCCCCACCACCACACAGCCATGCCCCCCCCCCCATACCACACAGCCATGCCCCCCCCCCCCATACCACACAGTCATGCCCCCCCCCCCCCATACCACACAGCCATGCCCCCCCCCATACCACACAGCCATGCCCCCCCCCCCCCCATACCACACAGCCATGCCCCCCCCCCATACCACACAGCCATGCCCCCCCCCCATACCACACAGCCATGCCCCCCCCCATACCACACAGCCATGCCCCCCCCCTCCCATACCACACAGCCATGCCCCCCCCCCCCCCCCATACCACACAGCCATGCCTCCCCCCCATACCACACAGCCATGCCTCCCCCCCCCCCATACCACACAGCCATGCCCCCCCCCCCCATACCACACAATGTGCAAAATGCATTTTCGGATCTGGAAAAATAGTTTACCGAGATTTTCGCGCTACCGAATCGCTGATTTTGGGAAATACCGAAATATGACACCACCGAAAGTTCCCAGGGTTGCAGTATCTTGTTGGGGATTGGGGCAAAGGCAAGGGCGTGTAGCCTGTCACCTTACAAAGGGAAGGGCGTGTAGCCTATCACCTTACAAAGGGAAGGGCGTGTAGCCTGTCACCTTACCTGCATCCAGCTGAGGACCCGGCCGCCGAAGAAGTTGAACCATTTGCTCATGCCTGCCATCATAGCCCAGCGTCTTGACGACATTACACAGCTTCTGGTAAGCATCCCGGCCTCCAGCGACGATTGATTTGACAAGCTCTTCGTTGTGATCACTGTTGGCCTGAGTCCGTTTCAGTGTGTCAATCGTAATGCGATCCTTGATGAGGTGAGCCTGTATGGCCGCATTGCGCAGTCTCTCCGCAGGCACTTCATTCAGCCATGGCTGAATGTCACAGATGAACGTTTCCGAGTAAAACGGGTTACCAGCTGGAAATGCAAGCAAATGCAAAGCATTAAAAAAACTTGAAGCACACTGCACCGTGATAACTCAACAGTGGTGTGAAAAGAAATCCAGCCCACAGTTCTGTTGGACGCCGAAGAACGGAGAGCCGAAGAACGACCAGGCTAGAATTTCACCAAGCACAGCATACCAATGTATACACGGTGACTCAACTGTGCATAGACTGTAATACATGTAAAATACGAACAGTCTAGGCTAGGAGGCTGACCCCCCCCCCAGTTCTTCAGGGACCGACATTACTGTAATGATTGCAGCAGCAGCAGCAGCAGCAGCAGGAGGAGCAGCAACAGCAGCAGCAGCACTGAGCAGCAGCAGCAACAGCAACAGCAGCAGCAACAGCAGCAACAGCAGCAGCAGGAGCAGCAGCAACAGCAGCAGGTGCAGCAACAGCAGCAGGTGCAGCAACAGCAGCAGGTGCAGCAACAGCAGCAGCAGTAGCAACAACAGCAGCAACAGCAGCAACATCAGCAGCAACAACAACAGCAGTACTCGCGGCAGCAATAACAGCAGCAGCAGCTGTCGCGAATCGCGAGCCGGACAATCACCAGTCCACAACTCCTTATTTGTGCATGTTTGCGCCTCGTGCGCCTAAAATCTGCTATGCGTACTGTACTACCGTACGCTGTTTTTTCTCATAAATTATTTTCTCTTCAGGGTGCTAGTGCCGAAATGGGCCAGCACCGTGCTCACCTTTCTTCGGTAGTATTCATATTTGGTTACAGTGTGCCCATAATAGTGTTGCTGCTATCTTTCCCTTGAAAGCAAGGCTCTTTCCGGTTGGTGAAAGGCTGCCGAACCTTTACTTCATTATCATCAACTTCATTACCTGAAAGCTTACTCGTAGCCTTGACCAGAGTCAAGCTGCAAAAGCCTTAGCTCTTGTTCTGTGTTTATGGACTGACTCATAATCAGCCAGTGACACACAACAGCAGCAGCAACAGCAACAGCAACAGCAACAGCAACAGCAGCAGGAGCATCTCTGGCCCTGCTTCAGCATATCATACATTGGTATGATGGTGGTCCTAGCAGTTCACATACCATCCATGCTGTAGCTTCTGCAAAACCTCTAGTGTCATGACACATCCATGTTCCCTCATCAAGCACACCTGCATGGAAACACAATGAGGAGACAGGCAATGCGAAGACAGGCAATGAACAGACAGACACGTGGGTAAGCAGTCAGTGAGCAGGCAGACAATGAGTAGGCAGACAGTGAGTAGGCAGATAGTGAGTAGATAGACAGTGAGTAGGCAGACAATGAGTAGGCAGACAGTGAGTAGATAGACAGTGAGTAGGCAGACAGTGAGTAGACAGACAGTGAGTAGGCAGACAGTCAGTAGGCAGACAGTGAGTAGACAGACAGTGAGTAGACAGACAGTGAGTAGACAGACAGTGAGTAGACAGACAGTGAGTAGACAGACAGTGAGTAGACAGACAGTGAGTAGGCAGACAGTAACAAACAGTGCTGTAAACCTAGTCTTGCAAGTGCTAGCGATAGCACATGTACAGTGTACCATCCAGTCTTGCAAATAACAGTCACACCTGCGTTTGCCGCCCCCATGTAACAAGCCGGGAATCCCGCCTTGACTAGACAAATCCGTATGCACCGACAGCGCTGTGGGTCGAATATGCATCGCTGGATCAAGCGGAATCCTGTCATATCAGGACGGTCTCTACTGCACCAAGGGCATCCGGTTTGGGCAGGTTTTATTGTACCAGCAGGAGTACCTTAAACCCAGAGTGCACAGCTTCTGACCTTGTCTACATGAGTGTCCAGTGTCCGTCATTTATTATTATTTATTATTGCAAATTACGCTTAGTAATTGCACAATGTATAAAAACCAGCATTTGCCAAATGGAAGGAAGAATGAGGAACGAGTTGGAATGAGGTGCTTATACGCATGCAACTGCAGAATAGGTGAAACAGAAAATATCAAAACAGTCACCTAAAAATAAAAGAACGGGTTTGAGTTTTATTTGTTGAAGTAGAAGTGTCTGTCATGGCCACAATACTAAAACCTGCACTCGTAGGTCATACTTGATGCAGGTGTAATAAGCCATTATTCTAACGAGGCGCATATATAACGATTTCCCAAAATTGACTAGTTTACGTGTACCAAAGGTAACGATTCTCACTCACTCTCTACGCTCAATAGGACAGTATATGTATCGATTTCTGTATAACGATTTCTATTTTAACGACAGATTTCTCCTCGTTAACTCGTTAAAGAGTTAGCACTTCGTTTATGGCTTTTACAGTACTGGTGTATTCATACCAGGGAGTAGTAAAATAGTTACTCGATTCGTATTTCCCGCTCCTTCACCATGGCAATGAGAGCCAATCAAGTATAGAAGAGCGCATGCTCCGGTGGTTCTCTGGTGTTGTGTGTTGTGTCTTCCTTCTTGTCTACTCTCTTGTCTTAATACTGCGTCCACATAATTATTCAATCCTACAAAACCCCTGTGTTCTGGAAGTCTGAGGGGACTTTATGTGGCGGGAAATGACGTAGTGCATACAACTGTGCTGCAGTTGTCCAGCAGCGGGAGATCTGCTTGTACGCACTACATCACCAAAATGCTGTTATATCAAGAAATTTCTCCGCGACAGCAACCCATTCGGAGCTGCGCACTCTGTACACCACATTTTCTGGGGTGCTAGCCAAGCAGGCAGGCATAGTGTGATGGTCTAAGACCATGGCTGAGAAACAGAGGGTACCATGTTCTAGTCCTGCTTGGAAGCGGAAGGATTTTTTGTGCGCTGAAGCCGAGACCTCAGGTTGGCGGAGATGCTCCAGTTTCACCACCACAGGTATGTCGGCAGCCACCTCTATCATGCAATATTCTGTTCTCGAGGTTCGTGGCTTCTCGTAAAAAAATCCAGACGTGCTGCGACCCACAGTTAATTGGGAACTCGTGGCCTGGCACGAGGGAAGCATGGAGGCAGCGAACAGCTATGTCAATTGAGATCCAGACTGATGTACATTAATTTTGCAGCCCACAAGACCACACATGTGCACTGACACTCAGCTGTGCACAACAACATCAAAATAAATAATTATACAGCCATGGCCAAAGAGATCCAACCCGCACGTCAAACTGACGAAGGCAGCGCCGCGCTTCCATTAGAGAGGTTGCGCACAACGAAGATTTGTAAGATTTTAACCGTCCGCGTTCGAGTGACGAAAGTTGCTGCGAAGATCCGTCCAAACACGACCAAAACAGAGTAGCTCTACGAAAATATATTTCGCTACTTGGAGTACTAAAATACTGATATTTTACAACTCCCTGTCTCGACTCTTCGCATCCACGCGTCGACCCACTACGAAAAAGTTCACGCGTTGTGTGCAACCTCACGGCTTATGGGTATTTGTTAGCTTTTTTTCGTTAAAAATACTCGTCACAGCGCTACGAATTTTCGTTGTGCGCAACCTCTCTATTATCAATTACACCACGAACGGTCCACAAACCCATCCAAGTGACACGTGCGCAGCATGAGACTTGGCACTGCTTTCGGCTCGCGGGGTCGGATTCTTCGGCCACAACTACAGTTCTTTTCTCTGCAGTACCAGCGCTTTGGCCGAGTGGTTGTGGGCTTGCCTGCGAATCACAAGGTCCCGAGTTGGAGACCCGTGCTGGGAGCAGGGAGCGTGGAGTGTGCTAACAAATGCGGTGATGCATACGCGAACCACTTTACATGAAAGGAGCTGTGCCGACACCCACGGTCAACTGGGTACTCACTACTCGGAGTGAGGGTAACATGGACGCAGCTAGCGAGGTATTCGCCCCCTTGTCGCGCATTGGTTGTGAGAGTTGCCACCTCACCCTCGCCAGTAGGCGCTGCATCTGCCACCCTAGTATCACAGGCATGGTGGTGGCCTGGCACGAGCAAAACTTCCTAAGCTGGTTGTGTTTCTCAATACAATTGTACAGTCAACTTCGCTAATAACGACTGCGGATATAACGACAATTCGCGAATAGCGACAGAATTTCCATGCCCAGAGCAAAGTCCCATCCCATTGTTATACATATAATGAGACTTCGGGTATAACGACACTTCGCGAATAAGGACACCTTTTTGATGCCTCGCCGAGTGTCGTTATAAGCGAAGTTGACTGTATAGCCGGTGGTAACGCAGACGTGCGAACTTTACTTTTTTTACAATTCTCTGCGCGGAAAGCATACATACTTGTAGGTTTGGATTTCCTTTGCCAAACAACAGGGGTGCAAGTACATGTACATGTATGTACAGTGCTGTTCAATGCAATCCAGTCGCATCGCTCAAGTTTGCACCTTGCATCATTTCGCCGCCCACTGTTCGCAGGTCCAGGGCTGCGCAACGCCCGGCGCGTACTTGCGTGACACGGCGCGTTTTCATTGAGTAACACCGTATGTACATGTACACCCCACCGTTAGGCGCTGCATCTGCCGCTAGGGTTTACTGGGGGGGGGGGTTAGCGGCCGTCGTGAGTTCCCTTCGGGAACGGACACGATAATTTACTCTCTTTTTTTTACATGTACATGTACAAATTCACGATGCCTTACTGGGTGAGCGAAATCCACGAGCGACTAGAACACCATGATGGCGCACACACGATCAGCCATTCTCCACGACCCACCGCATCTCCAATCGATGCATGGTCACACTTAGCAGTCGTTACTTGTACTTGTAGCGCTAGCAGCAGGATACAGACTACAGTAGGTATGGAGCAGTGCAGGTAGTTCTAGGTCAGTTCAACCATGTACAGATGGTCAGTTGGGATGGCAGACGTATAGCAGGTGAGCTACTAGTGCTAGTAGGGCGCTAGGACATACGCATAAACTCCCTGTTGATACTAGTACCTGGATATATCCACCGCCGTGTTCCAGGTCGTTAGAGGCCACGGTGAAGTCGCCGTGTGAGGGTGTGGACGGCCGAATAGAAGCAGGATACAAACTTCTTTTTTTTAATTGTCAACGCAGAGCACGCTACCAATCATCCAATGAGTGCGAGTTGAAAGAGAGACGTATCGCACATGCACAGCCCCATGGCGGGGCAGATTCGGGCCAGAGAATTATACTATTTCACACGGCCACTGAGCCGCTGGACGTGAGAAAGTCTCCTGGAATTCGGAAAACAGTACAACGCAGCTCTGCAACTGCCACGGTACCGCGGTGCGTCCTGCTCTATTTACAAACGTTGCATTGTAGAAATGTTCGGAGACGAAAGACAACAATGCGAGTTATATGGACAGAGGTTTTAGCGCAGAGCATCGACTCTTCTTCAGCTTCTCTCGCTCTCCCCTGCTGTCCCTAGCCTATTCTTTCACTACAATCATAGATCTGAGCGGCTAGAAATATTCTTCTTCCTTACGAAAGACTTTCGTTTCTGTCAGGACACTACATGTTACGTATGTATACAGTCTACACTAGCAGTCACTGAGTCAGTGTTGTCTGTTGAGAGCAGCGACTCCCTGGCTAGCTGAGACTGAGCATGAGAGTCCACCACAAAGAAAAGTCAATGCATATCACCAAGAGTAGATAAACAAGAGTGTGCAACTCCGGATGGATTGGCCCGGCACGGCGGAATTTTTTGTTGACGTAATCTTTTCGACGACGCACGCGCTGCGAGCGTTTTGGAGAGTTTTCCCTCGTGCACTTGGCTGGGCTTTACACTACAAGGTCGGTGCCCAGCACGTGCTCTCACACTGCTCTGCGGCAAAGCCGCGTTTCTCTGAAAAAAGGTGACGTAAACAAAAAATTCCGCCGTGGGCGCGGGGTATCTGCAGATTGTGCAGGAGAGATCCGGAGTTGCACACTCTTGTTTATCTACTCTTGATATCACCATGATCACGGCCAGGGGATCCCGGGAGTGTACTACTAGTACAGAGCTGGCAACTGAAATCCGACCCCCTGGGCGGCGCCGCGCGCCGCCCAGGTGGTCGGATTTCAGTTGCCAGCACTGTAGTACTACTACAGTGCTGGCAACTGAAATCCGACCCCCTTGCCGGCGCGGCGCCCCAGCAAGGGGTCGGATTTCAGTTGCCAGCACTGTACTAGATATTGTAGGCCCTGCACTGCACAGACGATACACGCGCGCATGCGTGTAAAAACAAAATGGCGTCACGATTTTAGAAAGAAGTGCTCATGTCAGCGGGTACTGTACTGTTGAACCAGGGAGTCGTATAGACGACTCCCTGGTTGAACTAACTTGAAGATTGCTGCTGATGCTGGCGTTTCCAGTTGGCTAATGGGTAGTTGTTGTTGTTGTTTATTTATTTTACATCGCATGGCAAACGGGCAGTTCTGCCCAATATTATGAAAGCGATGACAACCAGTACAAGAGTAAGAAGAGTCAGAAATGAAGAGAAAATAAAATGAAAATAAAAATACGAAAACGGAAGTAGCAATGAGGGGAGGCAGGGTCAAGACGAGCAGAAAAAATGGATCTCAAATTTACAAGTCGGGTCATCGTAGCATGATTCTATCGAGTCTCATCAGCAGGTTACGAAAGCCATTACATTTAAAGGGGCACTCCGGCTTCATTTTCGACGCCGAGTTTTCGATGCCAAGACGAAGGTAGGTGAAAGAGAAGACCCCTCGAACAAGAACGAGTCTCCAGAAGCGATCGAGTCGAGCAGGAAGACGACTTTTGAATTTCGACCGAGCGAGGGCTGATGACGTAATGAGGGATTAGCTTGCCAGTGGAAATGCATCTGCGCACATACATTTCACACACTTTTTGGCCAATTTTCACCCGAAGAAGAGGTTGTTTGCTATGTTCTCCCAACGCCGTGAGCGATCCCGCCTTCTATACCCTTCCAGATACCCTGAAGGTCCTCCAGAGGAGAATTTATCTCCATCAAAGCGTTGTTGATCCGCTAAATTGGTCTCGAGACATATTCACCCAGTGCAGTGCTGATACATGTAGAATGTTGAATCTGTGATAATTGTCGACGATGGAGAGAGAGAGGCTGATAGCCACTGTCGCAGGGAGAGTGAAGCTGCTGGAAGTAACAACGGGGAGCCCGTTTGTATCACCTGAACAACCAGACTTCAAAGCAGCTTGACCAAATCGGAGGGTGCCTCGTTGCTTATCGTGAATATTACACCGACATGAATTACTACAAGTATACTGGTGAGTTTTTATCTTGTTTTGTTCGTATGCTAGTACCCTGGACTGGAGTTCTCGTTAGCAAATTCCTATTCCCTGGCGTTTTCTAAACATTCCGTGTAGGACTGAATACGTGATCAAGTATTCCGATTTGGGTAGATGTGGAATTTGGACATGTATTTTATAAAAAAAATCCTAATAGAGCGTTTGTAGAGAAATGGTTGCCCAAATACAACAAAATTTATTCTGCAGTTCTACAACTAACTTGTACTGAAATCCAGTCAAAGTAAAAATGATTCTTCATGACTGTTGGGGTCAATGAAATCTGATCCAGGCATAACGAATGTTGACGCCTGCCACCCCGGGAACGAATGCCCATTTGGCGGGGGATACCAAAGTACTCGAAAGTAGTGCGTGTTTCAATGTGGCATGGAAGTTTTATATGATCTCTGGTCAATGCAACATACGATAGCCATCATGAATTGCAGGCCTCGAACGCAACTCCGACCAGAATTGGCAGTTCCCTAAGCTAGATGCTTTATAATTCCATGGCCCCAGCTGTAGTTATATAGAGGGTTTTTTGCACATTATTCTTATACTCGATAGGTTTATACTGATGGCCACAAACAACGGCAGTTCAAACTTCACTGATGTGTTCATGAGCTGAGAGATTTCTCTCCACTATTTCTGTTGTGCACACAGGTCTGTCCAATATGCATTGACCGTATTGGGTATGGTACCTGCTCTGAGAAGGGAATCGCTGGAGCCACAGTCCAACTATGCAGGCTTTCAAGAAACAGAGAGGAGCCATCTTTGCAAGCTGATACCTGATGTGTACCGACAGAATTCTCACGAGATACCTTACAGACTACGCCTGGTGTATACTTCATAGTATTCCTTCGACTACTGTCTAGAATCAAGTCGACTGAAACAAGTTCAAACAACTCTGGCTTCAAACGAGCCGTCAATTAGACAAACAAAACAGTCTCTCATATACTAGAGCACTCTGACAACTCACGACCTATTCCTAACGATTGCCACCGCTTATAAATATGTAGAGTACTGATTGGAATATGCTCACAATCTCAACTATTCAGTGCTATAATTATTTGAACTATGTGTTCCTTCCATAAATGTTGCATCCACATATAATCCACAGTGCTGCAAAGTTTCAGAGTTCTGAGGGTATCAAACAAAATTATTTCAAATACAGTGAAATTGTTCGTGGACATTATAGCGTAACTTGTAGTTCCCTGGTCCTTTTCTTTGCTATAAATTAATCCTTTGCTCTCTAGCCGCCGGCGAGTCCAACAGTAAAATTGTTAGTTCATATTTATGTGGGTATGTGTGTGTGTGGGGGGATTGAACATATTTCTATATAAGGGACCTGCAACTGTAATACCACAGTACAGTAGATAGCAAATATGTAGAAAACAGAAATGCATGTTCCCATCATTGTACATGGACGGGCGCAGCAGGCCGAAGCTATCAGCCAGAACAGGATTTACAATCGCCTAGAGATACTTGAGCTATTCCAGTATTCTCCGTGAGCTGTCCCATTCCACAATGGTTCATGGCTTCATGCCACCATTATTTCTGGTAGTATCCATGTGCATAATTCCAAGACCATCTCGGATTCTTCAGCAATTTGTGCCACGGCAAAAGACAGAGCTCGACTCGGTCACTGGGGCTGTCAAACTTCGCATCACAAATGATCTTCAATTTCTCATCTGTTTCAAGTATATGTACTGCCATGACTTGACCATGCTTCATCCACAGCTGGGCGAAGATTGTGGCGTTGAATTCCATAGCGCACCTTCTTGCTGCCATGCAGGAGTATGTTGAGAGAAGTGAACACATTTTTACTAAAAAAAAACAGCCACTGAAGAGGATAGCATTAGCAATAGCCTTGGGTGAATTTCCTGCGGGTACACGTTGTTGGTAGGTCTACTGGTCGGTCTCCATATCGTCAAGTTCAGAAATCACCTGTACTACACATCTTGTAGAAGGGATCCTGATCGAAAAATTTTCTGATCATAAAATTCACTAAACTGAGGGCGAGACAAATAGTCAGTACTCCCCGAGTCCGTCTAGCTGCTTTGATCAAGTGATGCTAACAAGCTCCCCGTTGTTACTTCCAGCAGCTTCACTTTCCCTGCGACAGCGGCTATCAACCTTTCTGTCCATCGTCGACAATTATCACAGATTCAACATTCTACATTTGTCAGCACTGCACTGGGTGAATATGTCTCGAGACCAATTTAGCGGATCAACAACGCTTTGCTGGAGATAAATTCTCCTCTGGAGGACCTTCAGGGTACCTGGAAGGGTATAGAAGACGGGATCGCTCACGACGTTGAGAGAACATAGAAAACAACCTCCTCTTCGATTGAAAATTGGCCAAAAAGTATGTGAAATGTATGTGCGCAGATGCATTTCCACTGGCAAGCTAATCCCTCATTACGTCATCAGCGCTCGCTCGGCCGAAATTCAAAAGTCGTCTTCCTGCTCGACTCGATCGCTTCTGGAGACTCGTTCTTGTTCGAGGGGTCTTCTCTTTCACCAACCTTCGTCTTGGCATCGAAAACTCGGCGTCGAAAATGAAGCCGGAGTGCCCCTTTAACCGAAGTAGAATACGCGTAGCATGCGTTTGAATTCACGGACAGAGGCTATGGACTTCATGCAGTCGGGCAGGCCATTCCAGAGTCGGCAGCTGGCTAGAAGCGGTCGGCATGCGCCAGAAGCACTGTGGGCCAGGGGGAGGGGAAGGTTGCGTCCCAATTGACCTCGAGTGGTCATGCCTGTCGGCGGGCCTTGCAATACAATTCGGGACGACAACAGCTCACTGACGATTCCAGAACGGATTCTAAATGTCAGGAGTCGGAGCTTGCATTCCCCTCGTTCCAGCACTGGGCAGACACCCAGCCTGGTGTACAGGGGAAGAGTGTGGGCCAATGGGTGCTCATCGGCCACGCAACGGATGCAACGTTTATCCAGTTTGGCTACTGTGTTCCGCTGCTCAGCGGACAGTCCTGGGAGAAACGCATTCGACGCATATAGAATATCCGGTATGACAAGGGCAGAGTAATACAGCATCGCCTGCCGCACTGTTAGGCAGTGCCGGATCTGGCGGAGGATCCGCAGCTTCATAGCCGTGCGTCGGACGATAGAGGTGACTTGCGGTGACCAGCGAAGATTTTCGTCCAGAGTGACTCCGAGGTAGCGAGCCGTACTGGTCTGGGCAAGAGGCGTGCCAGTGCAAGTAATGTGGAGGTCGAGGTGTGCCTGCCGTCCAGCTTTGATTGCAAGC